GTGGCGCGGCTCGACGGACACGGACGCGGACGCGGCGCTGCTCGGCGGCAGCTCTTCTTCGCCCGTGAAGATCTCCTCGTTGTCGCTGACGCCGCGCGCGACCTCGCGTTCGTACAGCGCGGCGGTGGCGGCGGAGAAGTCGTCGGTGCTGACGGAGGCGAAGCGGGGGCCGGTCGAGGCGGGGGGCGGCGGCGGCGGCATGGTGGCGGCGGTGAGCGCGGTGCTGGCGGCGGGCGCCGGGGTGCGCGCCGGCTTGTGCGGGACGTAGCCGAGGTTTGCGACGCGGCGGCGGTCGGCGGCGAGGGCGGCGAGGAACGCGGCCTCCGGCTGCGTCGCGAGCGCCTTGTCGTCGTAGTGCAGCTTGAGCAGCGGCTCCGGGTCTGCGGCGCGGGAGTACGGCGGCGGCGCCGGCGCGCGCGCGGCGGGGGCGGCCGCGAGGATGTCTTCCAGCTTTGCGCGCACGGCGGCGGCCTCGTCGGCTTGTTGGGCGCGGAGTGTGGCGAGGCGGCGCGCGATCACCTGCGAGTAGGTGACGCGCAGCGAGGCTTTGGCTTTCCAGATGCGGAGCGAGCGGAGGAGCTCGGCCCAGTAGTCGACGTCGATCGGCTCGTTGCTGGCGAGCTTCTTGGCGATCTGCGGCTCGAGGGCTTCGAGCTCGGAGAGCGTTTTGGAGGACAGGAGCTTGTCGACGTCGGCGGCGACGGAGCCGACGGCGCGGGAGCCGTCGCCGGACGCGCCGGACGTGGAGAGGCGCGACAGGCGGTCCGCGGTGAGTACCTTCATCGTGCGCCAGAACGCGGCGTTCGCGGCGCGGGTTTCGAGCGAGAGGTAGACGTCGACCTCGGCCGCGAGCTCCTCGAGCTCGGGTGCGGAGAGGCCGGACAGGATGCCCTCCGGGTCGACGACGTCCAGGTCCTCGTCGGCGATTTCGTCGTCGAGCGGGTCGCGCGGCGCGGCGCCGTCGATGACGCGGAGGGTCACCGCGAGGAAGTCGATCGGCTTTGCGCGACCTTCTTTGACGCGGATCTCGGCTTTGCGTTTGGCCTGCTTGAGCACGAATTCGTCTTCTTGTGACACCCACACGCGCGCTTGCTCGGCTTCTTGGAGCGCGTTGAGGCGGGTTTGTTCTTTTTGCGCGCGGTGGGAGTCGGGGTGCGTGTGGTTGGAGGAGGAGGACGGCGGGGGGCGGGACCGGGCGGGGTTGCGCCAGGGCGGCGGCGAGCGGGAGCGGGACCGTGTCCGTTTGCGCGAGGGGTGGGTGTAGTCCATGCTGGTGGTGATGTGGAGGTGAGGGTGGTCTGTGGAAGTGATTTTTGGAGGTGAGCTGGATTACGGCGCCAAGACGCTTGGCGTGACAGCTGTGAGAGAGAGCCCCGTTTCGCGTCTGCGGTGCATCGTCACCACACCCACCTCGCGAACACCGCTTCCAAGTCCGACTCGACACTGCACACGATGGGCCGGCGCAAAGACTTTCTGGACGAGTACGACAGCGACTCGTCGTCCGACGGCAGCGACGCGGACGACATCGTGCCGACCGACGACGGCGGGCACCGCAGCAAGCGGCGGCGCACGACGCAGGCGAACGCACGCGAGGCCGCGGCGCTGGGGGTGTTTGGTAGCGACGACGACGATCGCGGCGGCCGCGGCGGTGGCGGGTGGAAGGGTAAGAACCTGCGTGCACGCGGGATGGGGTTTGTTGGTGCTGGCGAGAAGGTCGATGATGATGATGAGGAGGAGGTGACGGGGCTAAGGGGACGCATCGGTGGTGGACTTGGATTTCAGAAGGCCCAGGATCCGATGGAGGAGGAGGAAGAAGAGGATGGCAGCTTTCAGGAACCGTATCCCGAGGAAGAGGAAGAGTGGGACGAGCCGATGGAGGAGCAGCGCCCGCGACTGGGCCTCGGAGGCGGCAGAATGGCATTCAGCAAGATCAACAAGGCCACGCCGAAGGCAAGCTCTGCAACGCCGTCAGGCGCATCGACACCGCACGCGCACCCCGGCCTCGGCTTCGGCGGGGCCGCGACACCAACAGCGACTACACCAGCACCAAGCACGCCCTCCTTCGCCTCCCCCTTCGGCACAGGCTTCATCTCCTCCGCCGCAAAATCCAACGCGGAGATGCCAAAGATGTCCGCCATGCCGCCACCAAACGGCGAAACCCCCGTCGTGCGCCCGAGCGCCTTCGGAACACCGGCTGCACGCAAGGGCAAGAAGCCAGCAGCAGACACGCCGCCGACCACGAACCCCGACAGCTTCGCCGCCCGCATGATGGCAAAGATGGGCTACAAGGCCGGCCAGGGCCTCGGAAAAGCCGGACAGGGCCGCCTGGAGCCCGTGGCGCCAAAGGTGCGGCCGCAGGGCGTCGGTGTCGGCGCGGTGCGCGAGATGAGCGAGCAGGAGAAGGCAGAGTCGCGGCGGACGCGGGCACTCAAGGGCGAAGTTCTCTCCGACAGCGACAGCGAGAAGGAACGCAAAGCACGGCGCAAGAAGCGACAGAGCGCCGGCGGGGTCTCAACACCCGGCGGCACCCCCCGTGCCAGGAAGGAGAAAAAGAAGTTCCGCACCGCCGCCGAGATCGCCGCCGAAGTGCAAGGCCTCGAGGTCCCCAGCGCGCTCAAGAACATCATCGACTTCACGGGCAAGGAGCAGAAGCTGCTGACGTCGGCGCACGGGCTGCTGCAGCCGGGCCGCGAGGACCCCGAGAACCTCAAGCTGGCCAAGATGGCGCGCGCAGACCTCGAGAGCTTTGCCGCCGAGTGGAAGGCGCTGCAGGAGCGCAAGGCGTACCTGGCAGCCGAAGACGCGCGACTGGAAGCCGTGGCAGCGGAGCAGAAGGCCGAGATCGAACGCATGCAGGAGCTCGTGGCGCTGTCGCAGTCCCTCCAATCGCTCTCGCTGGAACACACCCCCGCCGGCCTCGAAGCGCTGGTGGCGCAGCTCGAAGTCCTCCAACACCAGCGCGACCTCCCCGCCGACGCCGCTGCGGAACTCGCCATCGCGGCGCTGGCCCCGCCGTTCAAAACGCACATGGCCACCTGGAACGCGCTCACCCACCCGCACGACTTCGCCAACGAATTCCTGCGCCTCGCCACACTGCTGGGCATCCGCACCCGCGCCCACCTCGAAGCGGAGTACACCCAGTCGGGCTTCATCGCGCGCTCCAAGCTCGCGTCGCCGTACGAGAGCCTGCTCGCGACACACTGGCTCCCCCGTGTCCGCCGCGCGCTGAGCAGCTGGAACGCGCTCGACCCCGCGCCCGCGACGGCGCTGCTGGACCTGTGGGCGCCGGTGCTGCCGCACTGGATCCACGCCGCCGTGATCGCGCAGCTCGTCCTCCCGAAGCTTCAGGCCACGCTGCAGCACTGGACGCCCTCGTCGCGCGCGCGCAAGCGGCAGCCGGTGCCGCTGCATGTGTGGCTGCACCCGTGGCTCCCGCACCTCTCGCCGCACCTCCCGCTGCTCCTCCCCTCCATCAAATCCAAACTCGCCGCCCAACTGCGCAGCCACCCCATCGCCGCCCCACCCCCCACCGACCTCCCCCTCTGGTCCCCCCTGGTGCCCACCGAACCCCTCATCCTCCGCCACCTCCTCCCCCGCCTCGCCGAGCACCTGCACACCTTCCTCACCATCAACCCCGCCGACCAATCCCTCACCGCGCTCGAGGCCGTGCTCGCCTACGCGCCCCTGCTCCCGCCGCCGGTGCTCGGGAAACTGCTCGCCGCCGAGTTCTTCCCCAAGTGGCTCGCAGTGCTGCACCAGTGGCTGACCACGCCCGGCGCAAACCTGGACGAGGTGCGGCAGTGGTACCTGTTCTGGACCGACGTGCTCCCTGCGGCGCCGGGCGTGCGCGAGGGCTTCGCGAGCGGGCTGGCGATGGTCAACGACGCGCTGGACCTGGGCGAGCGCGCGGCGGCGGAGCTGCCGCTGCCGGCGGCGCACCCGGTGCGCATCGTCCCCAAAGCTACCGACACAGCGAAGAGTGCAGACTCGGGGCGAGACGGGAAGGGCAGTGGGAAACAGCAGGCGCAGGTGGCGGAGACGACGTTCAGAGACGTGGTCGAGGACTGGTGTGCGGAGCACGAGCTGCTGCTGGTGCCGCTGCGGCGCGCGGATGTGGCGAGTGGGATGCCGCTGTTCAGGATTACGGCGAGTGCGAGTGGGAAGGGCGGGGTGGTGTGTTATATGAAGGGGGATGTGGTGTGGGTGCTGCGGAAACGACGGCGGGGGGTGGATGCAGGGGAGGGGGGGAAGACGGAGGGAGGGGAAGGGGAGGAGAAGAAGGAAGGGGGACAGGGAGGGGGACAGGCGGTGGAGAAGGAGGTGTGGGAGCCGGTCGGGCTGGAGGAGGTGGGGCGGATGTGTCATGGCGGACCATAACTTTTGCGTTTGTGTGTACATAGATCTGCGTCGTTATAGCTGGCGATCATAATACTTGATCTTATACTGTCCTGCTCTATCACAGTCAGTATCCAAGCTGTACTTTGCCGTGGAACCAGTGTATCGTACACTCTCGAGTCGCCAGTTAGTTGGCAAGAATTTGGCTATTTCATGTAACTAGTTGCTAAATGGGAGAGCAATGGAGGCGATGGAAGGGATGCACGGCTACACATCGATACTATATCGCACTATCACACTGCAACGGCACCTGCTGTGGCGGCGCTCAACCGTGCTACCTGCTCTTGAACTTCAAGTGCTAGGTATCAGTCGTGTACTGATTGCCGCACCCAAGGTATCGCAGATGCTTCTGCTTCTTGGATCCCTCGCTCCCTCGGCGTCTGCCCTGTCTCCAGCCCAAACCTCCATCCTCACCATCCCCTCCATCCCCTCCATCCACCAAGGCCCACCAGTGCACCGTCTCTTTGTTTACCATCTCCCACCACCCCAGGAACACCCACGACCGTCGCTCCACCTCCCAGTCCTGCTCGGTCCCGCGCTTCCATCCCTTCAACCCTTTCACATCATGTCTCTTGTTTCCACTCACTCTCTCGCCACCATCGCCAGTCTGGTTGGCTCAGTTGGTAGAGCGTCGGTCTCATATCTGGTCAGCATATGACGGTTCCGCAGGAGCTGCAATCCGAAGATCGCGAGTTCGATCCTCGCACCGGACATTTCTTTTGCTCTTCCTCCTCACTCCAGGCAGCAACGGCTTTTTGGGCGGGAGCCGTGGAGAGTAGGATGTTTTTTGGAGAGTTGGGAGACTTGGGAGGGACTGTGGTGGGCTTGTGGTGGTTGATGGCGATGGCGAGACGGAGATGTGGCATGTGCATTGGCGGAGGGGGGTCGACCGCGTCTTGTTCTGCGCTTTCAGAAATACAATATTGATATTCCACGTGAGCATGAAGCTGGCGACACGGCGATGGATATTCGTGCATGCTCTGCTACTCAACGCGGACTTGGGGCCAGTATCGGCACTACATTGCTACTAGCCTCCTCGAGCGCTGTGTCAATACACCCCGCACTAGTCGCGAGGAGCTGCGTCGACGGCGGCCGTGTATCCGTATACTCTGCGAGACGGCCCTTGGCCGACGGGGGCAGCACTCGAACGATTGACCATCTCCAAGAAACGTACTCGTACGGCCCCTTAGCGGCCACAACGTACTGGTTGTATTCACAAGAGTACGAGTACGAGTGCTTCAAGACGAAGACACGGAGGGCACGGCCGAACGAATCGCGGATGCCGGAAAAACCCGCGCATAACGCCCGGGGGGTAGTGTTCGGTCGTGGGGTAGTGATCAAAATCTCATGGCAAGCACCCGGGCCCAACCAATTCCACCACAACACAACCAAAAATAGTAGTAGAAGGTTTATATTTTATAGAGAGTAGCTAGACTATGGGTAGAAGAAATACATGTAGTTATTTTTTTAAAACAATACAAAATTCCTATTTTGTAGTCTACAATTGATGATACATTGTGAATATACAAACAAGGCCTCGAGGGGTTTGAACAAAGCTTGTAGCCAACCCACAACCTAGCCAGATTTAATCTATACTATCTGTTCTAGCTACTGTTCAAATTAGGAGTGCAAGAGGGACTTCACAGTTGACTTAGCTCAGTCTGTTGCTCTTCATCTTTGTAAAACTCAATTCTCTCTCTCGCTATTTCAGAGTTACTGCAGTGGGTGGTGCCGCTAACCCCACTAATTGCGTTTTCAGGTTCATGAGTAGCTCTATACTGTTATCCTGTAGATTAACCTTGAAGTTTGTTACCATATCTAATTTTGTTTTGGGTTTTTGTTAGTTCTAGGCTTGTTGGGTGCATCTCGAGAATGACAGATGCTTGTGAGAAATTTCTCGCGCATAAGAATAGAATCTACGTCCTGTAAATTTGGGTTTTGCAAGTTAGAACTGATTTCAGTGATGCATACCTGAGGTGCGGGTGGTAGAAATCAGTCAAAGCGCGAGGATCGATCAAACATAGGACCGGATTTCAACAAGACTAGGTAAAGATTTTTTTCTAAGACATAGCAGAATATATTCTATGATATATTCTATCTGTAACGTTACTTTGCTTATTTGTGAAGTTTTTGTTGTTATGTCACGTGAATATCAAAATATAACCAGTAGCATATAATTGTGCTTACAATCTGGCATTAGATATAATTACACATTAGGATTTACATCAAGACGAGTTAATAAACAAGTTTCGGAAATTTTGGGCTCGATAGCTACTAATTTTGGGTGTGTTGTGGTGGTGGTTGCCATCGGAATTTTGATTTCTACCCGACGACTGATCTCTACCCCATAGACGTTACAGCTGGAGTTCTAGTGTGTCATATGTACCCACCACGCAAATCCAAGGCTGCAGTCCAAAGCTCTTGTACAACGTCGCCGACGTGCGTTGTTTTGTATTGCACGCTGCGCACCTACACAGTCATCAACAACACGGTGATACGTCACCTCATGGAGCAGCCAGACGTTGCCAGATTCGCTTTTGCAGTGTTAGGTAGCGCTCATGTCTAGCGATATACACGGCATGGTGTTGCTCCGCTAGTGCCAGTGCTGGTGCTGAGGGTGGAGTATTGGATGGTGTCGATGGTGATATGATGGGATGTGGACGAGCGACGGATTACAAGTGCCAGGGTGTCGTGAAAAGAAGGATCGCATTTGAAGTCGGCGGATGTCTGGAGTGCCCCAAGAACGATGGGAAGAAGTCGTATGGGCCCCAAGAAACCTGAGGGTGCATTACCTATGTCGGCTTGCCCAGTTAGGCCGAATGGTGGCCGAGTGATCGCTTCTGATACTGTATATACCGCAAAACGGGGGTGATGTTAGCTACGGTCAGAGAAACATGAACGCAAGGCTTCCCGTCCGCTCAGCCCTGTTTAAGCTTGGTGTCGCCTGGTCTGTACTGTCAGTGGGTGGCCATGCGGGAATCCCGGGTACTGTAGTTTTTGGTCTTTTTGGACCACCTGCGGTGGTGGGGTATCAGGTAGATTCCGTATGATCAGTTGACGGATACCAGCATCAGCTCGTCTACCATATACAATGGATGTTTATTTCATTGTTGTTTATTGATAGCCCAGGTTTTTCTGTTCACAGATGGTTGTAATATGTATTTGTAGGTGGAAATGCGGGGCGGTGTGGCTTTAGGGTGTTGGGTTTGTCGCTAAGTGCCAACTAATTGGCTGGATTGCTACTGCGCTGCACATGTCTCTCCGCACCGGCACGACATACGTGGAGAACCCGGACTGTTGATGGAGCGTATGGCCTTCACTTGGGACGCCAGTAAATCTTGGAGCACCGGTCCACTGCTGATCGTAGCCTTCAACTCCATGGCCGGGCTGGAATAGGCACTCGTGTTGGTGGTAGCAGGCACTTGCACGTGCCCACTACACACACATACATACACGCAAAGCAAGACGTTGTTGTATATATGGACTTAGCTAGAGAGGGTTGGTTCTGATCATACAGGTTGGGATGCCGGCTGGAAGCGGTCAATATGAAATGAACAAGCTTGGGTTAGACTCCTTTCGAGACGCCATTGTTTTCAGGTGGATGAGGACTGCGTGTCAAGGACGCCTGCAGGCCTAGATTTGAGGAAACGCTGTCAAGAATATCCGTTTCTTTGTTGTTTGTTCACATGTCATACACTGCATATATCCAGTACCATCACAATCACTTCGTGGCTCAATATGTAGAATGAATTGCGAATCAAACAATCTACAGAGGTTTGTTTGTGCATGCATCAACAACTGCATGCTTATAAACGACCACAGCCTTCGAACGAACCCATTCTACTGCACACACTCCACAATTCCAGGCCGGGCTGCAAACGTTCGCTGGAGACATTATCGCTGCTTCAAAGCTGCAGTTCAAGGCCGTCGCGGCACAGCATCTATACCAACGCGTATTCAATCAAACGCCGAGTTAATTAATCGATGACTTCCCGTAACGATTTAGAACGGATCGAGGTCTAAATTTTGTAGAAAAGGTTGTTCTAAATGCTACTTTGGAAAGAGGGGGGGGAATACCGATAGCGTGTAATTACTCACTGAAAGCCGTTCATTGAAAGCCGATTTGGCACGCTACATACTCCTGCGGTCCCATCATACGCCCGCACTCACCAGAATGTACACACAAGACTGGCTGTAGCAGCCTATAACCTATCCATCCATGGCGCTTCAACTGCTACATATAATTAATTCTCCCAACGCCCTGCATCCAAAAAAACAAATACTGAACACCGGGCGGCCCAGATTTTCGACGGTGATTTTGAAAGTTGCGTTTTTGGCCGGCTGTGCGCATCCCTTGAACCCCCAGGCTCCAGTATCGGCAGGCAGCAAAAGAAATGTCCGGTGCGAGGATCGAACTCGCGATCTTCGGATTGCAGCTCCTGCGGAACCGTCATAGACAAGATATGAGACCGACGCTCTACCAACTGAGCCAACCAGACTGGCGATGACGTCGAGTGATCCGGTCCGCATACGAACGAACCTGGATTGATCGGGCTGGTAAATAGCGGGCATCAACCGAGACTTGGTTGAACGTCCCCTCGTATTACCCAGGATGGATTTTATAGCAAATAACGGCATTTATTACAATCTTGTGGCTGTTTTGGTCTTTGCTTTTATTACTCAGGACGGTCGTCCACCAGCTAGGTCATGTGGTCAAGCTATTCCATGGATCAGCAAAAGTCGACCATCAAGGCACGCAATGCCTAATCCCTTCATCTGAACAACCAAAAAAGTTACACCCCGCATTCACAGGACCAAAAGCAAAAGGATAATGATGAGGACGAGATTCGAACTCGCGCGGTTTCCCACTGGTGCCTAAAACCAGCGCCTTAACCACTCGGCCACCTCACCCGATAATATGTCAGATCTACCCCGGTGCAAATACAAAACGTGTTTTTCCCATGTCCGTCGTTGTTCGCAAAGCGGCATGGGAATTGGCAAGCAGAGACAGTGCACACGGGTGCGAGATGGGTCGAATTTTCGCGCGCGGAGCAATCGGGCATGGTGGGATAAACTTCTGTTCACGCGAGTCCTGGTTCTTCGCAGTTGATTACAGTGCGGAAACTTCGTTTCACCGTCGTTGCTGAGAGTATGTCTGTTTGTTCGTTGCCGGAGGTTATATACTAGGAGGGTTGAAAACATGGTCTCAGAACGCAACTGTCAACCTCAACCATCGTCAGTAGCCAAAGCAAACTCACATTAGCCAATTGCCACCGCTCCCCGCAAACCCAAATCAAAAACCTCGTTCTCTCGCACAACGGCCAGAGAAACAATGTTTTTTACGGGAAAAAGACCAAGTCTGAAAAAACCCATCGCACTAAAGAAAAGAAACGCCACGGACGTGAGTTATCCACCCCGATTTTTGGGCCTATAGTTAGAAGGGGAACACGGAATTTCGTAATCAGGTATATTGTGGTGGTGTTCAGGACCGGGCTCTGGTGGAATGTGTGTGGTGGAGAGAAGAAGTTGTGGTGGCGGTGGAGCTGTGGTTATATAGAGTGGGAGAGGGATGCCAAGAGGTGAATATTCCGGTGCTAGGCAGCGTTTTAGCCCTGATGGGCTGTTGTAGCAATCAGAGCTAGGCTGGAATGTATCAGTGCAAGTTGGGTCGCAAGAGGTGGTCAGTTGGAGTCACTCACATTCGAATGAGGCT